GGTCATATTTATGTCACATTTATTACGTAAATATTATGTAATGGTATGATGTCAGTGTTACATCAATATGTTTACGTCATATTTATGTCATATTTATTACGTCAGAGTCTGACGTAAGGAAGTGTGAAATAATGACTCTTGTATGACTCAAGTGTGACCTATATCTTACGTAAGCGTGACTTGACATGACGTCATATTTACGTAATTGTGTTTACTGGGTAGTCGTGTTAAACCTATAGCATTGAGTAAACACACTTTACTCAATGCCTATAGGATATACCTACCCTTGCGGCCTTTTAGTTCACGGTTTATTCACCGTGAATTCACCGTGAATATACCGCCAAAATACGGTGGATTCACAATTAAAATACTGTGAAAAGTGCGTGAATTCACCGTCTAACTACCGTTTACAAATGTCACAAACAGACGGTTTATTCACGGTGAGTTTACGGTGAATTCACAGTGAATTCACGGTGAATAAACCGTGAACTCAAGGCCGCAAGGGCTGTTATATTTCGATTTTGACGTTAAATACGTCCGATGCGGTTGTTTTGGTTCCCCCTGCAGACCCCCTTTTGTGTGTGTCCATTTAAGTACACCTCTGTTTGACGTCCATGTCTGTAATGTGGGGTTGGTCTTGGAATGAATCTTGAACGTCTTGAACGTTATATATAACGTATGGTCTAAATGTCTCCAAGCTTGTCCTTGTCTGTGTCCCCAGGCAGTTTACATCGTATTTTTTTAACAATTTTGTTGTCTATAATGTTAATAATTAATAATTATTATAAAGTTCCCCCTTTTTTGTGGTGAATTTCTCATTAATTCTTAGCGTGTAGGTACCTACCTACTTATTAAAATGTAGTTTTGTAAATGGGGCAAAATTTGCCAAGTGTACCAGGTGAAAAAATTTTTGTCACCGATTTTGTTTAAACTTTACTTATTTGTTGTTCTTATAACGAAGAATCATAGCATCAATTTTTTTTGCTCTAGGATTGTTCATTCAAGAGTTATTGATTATTGAAATTTATCGATTTTTTACTTTTTGGTGAAATCGCTTTTTATTTAAAAATTCATAACTTCTGTTCATCTCTTTATTAAATATTTTAATTTAACCTCCTTAAATGATTTTTTCCGTACTTTTCAATGGGCTATACCGTTTTTGCAAAAAAATAAAAATTGCAATTTTTTTTTGAAATTTTGCAAAATTTTGCATTTTTTAAAACAATGTGTATTTTTTAATTTTTTTTAAAATAGCATAAAATCCAAGTTTATTATGTTACCTTTGAATAAAAAAAAAATTTAGAGTGGGCCCGACATGTAGAAGGGAAGTTTTTCATATTTGAATGCCGCACGGTCTAGCCATCGAATAGCTTACACTGCCGTATGCGTTTATACCTAGTGGATGCGAGTAAACGAATACAAAATGATAATTTAAAATGTAAAATTATGTTTGAGTAGTCAATGATGTATTTTAAATATTTACACTGCCGCACGATATAGTTTTTTAACTGTATTTTTTTGCACAAATTGTTTAAGCATGGGTCTACATAGATTTCGCAAGGAGGATCGATGATATTAAATAAAAAAATTATTGTTATAACCGTAACGGCTTGCCTATAAGCTGAATGGCGCCTTTACGGTTATAACAATACATTTTTTATCATCGACCCTCCTTGCGAAATCTATGTAGACCCATGCTTAAACAATTTGTGCAAAAAAAATACAGTTTATATACAAAAGTGGTCTTTTAGTTCCACCCTTACTTCGTAAGAAGTCCCATAAGCCAACTGAATGGCTTGTGCGGGTTAGGGGTAGGAACGGACCGCGGGCTTAAAGTCCCCTCTGAAGGACTAATTCCCAATAAAAAAAACTATATCGTGCGGCAGTGTAAATATTTAAAATACATCATTGACTACTCAAACATAATTTTACATTTTAAATTATCATTTTGTATTCGTTTACTCGCATCTACTAGGTATAAACGCATACGGCAATGTAGTAGCCCAGCTAGCACAAGTCTGTCCTAAGGACGTCCTAAGGAAAGCCTTACAGGATATTGGGATATCCCAAGGATATCCTAGGACGTCCTCAGACCTCCTCAGGACATCCCAGCCATGGCCGAGTGGTGCAAAAAAGGCCAGCCTACAGACGTCCCGCAAATGGCCTTTAGGATATCCTAGGGATATCCCTAGGTCCATATAGGTCCAGGAATAGGACATCCTAAGGATGTCCCCTGAAAGTCCCATGGGTATAATATACATATTATGTTGGTCCAGGAATGGGATGTCCTGAGGACATCCTCTGAATGGCCTTGTTATTTGTTGGGGATACATTTTATCAATTAAATACCATTTTATTACTTTATAAAATATATTATTTTATTTCTGTATACATATATATAATTTTACACAGCCAATTATATAAAATAAATAATAATTCTAAATAAATATATATATTATAATAGTTATATTATTAATGTATCACAGTGTCCAAAGTTATCTGCTCACCATTTTAACTCCATCATTATTGCAGCTACAAAGTCGGTTAAATTGGCAAATTAGTGGCATTTTTTCTTCTGAAAATTTTGAAACAAATTAAATACGATTTTTTTATTTTTTAACAAGTATGCTTATTATAACTCACCAGAATTTTATGATTGTTGTTCACTTCAATCTTCAAGCAAATTAGTATTTAAGGTTTATTTCGAAGAGAACACTGTAATATTATAGTGTTCTATTATATAATATTATATTATAACAAACACACTTGGAGAACACGAGATTCACGGCCTTAAACCAGGTTCACGACACAGAAAAAGAATTCACGGCACAGACAAAGAATTCCTTTCACAGTGTTATCTATGATTCTTTCTAGCTTTCTCTCCATCCAGTGTTACCACCATCTTTGGTTAACACCATAGACAATGGTTACCACCATAACGTAAGGCGGCAAATTTAAAACAATCGGTAACACAAACTATTAAATAAGTTATAGATTGCGTTTGTGATTACATTTTTAAGGTTAACTGACGCTTACTACCTTATTTATTATTTATAAAACTCTAAATGTATCAATACCTTACAAACAAGGTGTTTGATCAATTATTAATTACCAGCCGTCATTTCTGCGCATGCGTATTAAGTAGGCTGCTATCCAGTTGTATACAAAATATATTTTGTGGTCATAATATGACCACAAAATATAATATTGTTTTTAAACTCCCGCCTTTAAAACGCCGATTATCGTACATGTTTCCATGATATTTTAAATACACATTGACAAGTTGTGGATTTATGGCACGGGTTGAAGTTGGCAGCAATGGCATTCGGACTTTTTGGTCATGGGTTGAAGTTAATTGCAGTTGTCAACTGCGAAACAATGACCATCAAAATAAAGGGTCTAAAAAGTGAGGTTAGAATAGACTGGTCGATGTCAGATTTTATAAATAATTATTTATATATAATTGTTGAAAGTTATTTAATTTTTGTGATTGTCGTAGAAAAAATATAGTATGCAAGTCGTTTATAAACTTAAAAAAATCTATGTAATATAATATTATAATTATATTGATTGCCTTTGCAAAATAAGTTATGTAAAAAAATGTAGGTATTATTAATTATATGGGTAAAATATTCTTATAGAAAAATGTGCATACCAAATGTTTACCAAAACCTAACGGGACATTCTGAGGATGTCTCTGGGATTAGTCCTATGATCAGCCCATTTTAGGCTTTAATTAGGATATTATTAGGTCCTAACGACATCCTTAAATGACGTTCCTAGGATATCCCAAAATGGGACCTAAAAAAGATCTAATGTCCGATAAGGTCAACCTATGGACGTCCTCAGGAAGTCCTTATAGGATCATCCCATTCTGGGACATTTAGGCTGGTCCAAGGACGTCCTGAGGATGTTTGTGCTTGCTGGGAGCTATTCGATGGCTAGACCGTGCGGCATTCAAATATGAAAAACTTCCCTTCTATATGTCGGGCCCACTCTAAATTTTTTTTTTATTCAAAGGTAACATAATAAACTTCGATTTTCTGCTATTTTAAAAAAAATTAAAAAATACACATTGTTTCAAAAAATGCAAAATTGTGCAAAATTTCAAAAAAAAATTGTAATTTTTATTTTTTTGCAAAAACGGTATAGCCCATTGAAAAGAACGGAAAAAATCATTTAAGGTGGTTAAATTGAAATATTTAATAAAGAGATGAACAGAAGATGAATTTTTTAATAAAAAGCGATTTCACCAAAAAGTAATAAATCGATAAATTTCAATAATCCATAACTCTTGAATGAACAATCCTAGAGCAAAAAATTTTTATGCTATGATTCTTCGTTATAAGAACAACAAATAAGTAAAGTTTAAACAAAATCGGTGACAATAATTTTTTCACCTGGTACACTTGGCAAATTTTGCCCCAAATGCGTTTTATTTATTTCGTCTCATTGGTTTGTGCTTTAATTGTAACTGCTGAGTGGTTTGTTTAACTTCTTATGTTTGGTTTGGTTCTGTTAAGATGTATGAGGTCAGGTTGGCGTTTCTTTATGGTGTAGTCGAGTTTGTTTGGGGACTTATCTTAATGTCTATGTTATGGATTGATTTATGTCTACCTAATGTTTCCTTATGGGACCGTTGGCCCCTGGTTTCCTCATGGTAATTAGCGGCTGCAAGTTTGCGTTTGGATTTAAATTTAAGTTTATATTAGAATTTCAGTATTTTTAAGTCATGCAATTAGATAAATTACTTATCCGAATTAAGTGGCTTGATGTTCTGCAGAAATGACTCTGTCGCGCGGCATGCCGGCAAAACCGTTGCGCTGTTTAAACTTAAGCCTAATTTATAGATTGCCCTACTTCCTTCCTTCCTTCCTCCTGTAAAAGATGACAATCTATGTTGCCTTTTTAATTTAAAAACTCCAGAAAGGTTATATTTTTTCATAAAATAAATTAGAATTCTAATTAATTAATTAATTTTGAATATTAAAACCAAAATGTATTTTTTGAAAAATATTTATATTTTTTATTTGACGTATACCAATGACTCCAGTAACATATTTAAGAAAGATTTAAGACAAAATAATTTAATAAATAACAAAATTTTAACCATAGAGTTGTTTCTCTATATTTATTATATGAACGAAAAAACTAAATTCTTTATGTCCCGGACGAATGGCAATTTTGAAATCATCGGCCCAGAATGAGGTAATTACCTCATTAATCTATGTCGAATTTTAAAAAACTATCATAGTGTAGCCATGGCTGATGTGCACTGCATAGATACTAAAGATAGAATAGTCGACTCGGTTAGAAAAGCGTCACGTAACCATTTCTTTTCAATATCCGTGTTCCTTTTACCACAAAGATTAAATTAAACGAATTGTAATTGGTTCGCCAAAAATCGAGGCTGCCTTGACAATACGGCACGTTTTTAATAATAGGCCACGTTTAAAAACATGCCTATATAAAGTCGACTATCCTGTCTATTGTATCCATGAGCCACAGGAACGCTAATATTTTTTCTGTATAAAAGCCATAATTTACAAAATATTGTTAATTTTCTTCATAAAATCGCCAACTCGCTTAGCATCAAGATCCTTATTCCACTGTCCATCTTCTTTAAAATGAGATCCAATGATAAGGGCATCTGCAGAAATGTAATGTTGAACATTATCAATTGTAACTCCTGATCCAATTAGTAGAGGTAGAGAAGAAGCAGTTTTAATTTTATTTAAATCGCTTAACTTTGCGGGATCCCCAGTAGCGGTGCCTGTAAGAATCAAACCATCGGCCAGGAAAAACTCTGCTGCTTTTGCAGTTTCGGCTAAAGAAATATCGTTTGTTATGGAATGAGAACTGAAAGGCAAGGATTTTAATTGAATGATTTAGTATTTATATTTTTTTTTACCTGTGTTTTTTCTTTATATCGGCAAAAACCAAAACGTTATTAGCCTCAATTTGTTTTCTATATCTTAAGATTTGTCCTGCGTTAGCGTCAGTGTATCCCTCATCCGCTACGTGTCCAAATACAAAACCCTCACATCTTATAAAATTTAATGATGTGGCTTTAGCAATTGCTAAAGCTTCCTTATTTCCAGAGGCTAAAACCTTCCAAACAATAAATAAAATGCAAAATACGTAACTGTTTTATTTTACAAGCTTTATTATATTATCACAAATCCAAACCACAAGGTTGTGTGATGGTTATTTATCTTGGTGTTTTCTTAATAATGCAGAATTGTCGATACCAGTTCCAAATACTGTATGCAAATCACTGGACCAATTGGTTATAACGGTACCAAAATCCAGTGATTTGCATACAGTATTTGGAACTGGTATCGACGATCCTTAAGGATCGGATTTTAGGCAATGTGCCTTTTTGTTTCTATTTTAGGCATTTGTTTGGGACCTCGAAATTAATCCTAAACTTAAAAAAATAAAGCGTTTGACACCCCTTTGTTTTGGCCTAAAAGCCTAAAATGGCAAAATTTTGATTTATTGTCCTAAAAGGAAATTTTTATGACCCTAAAATGGGCTCTTTTAATTTTTGATTTATTGTCCTAAAAGGACATTTTTATGACCCTAAAATAGAATCTTTTAATTTTTCAGTAAAAAATATATTTTTCATTGCTGAAAAGTAAATTATTTTTAATTAGACCCTGCTTTTATGCTCTTATTTCGTCTAGACGCCCTTGGCGAGTACGAGGACCACAAATTACAAAACTAGTGAAAACCTAATAAAAAAAGTTATTGTGTTTTTCTGTTAATCCCGTGATTTCAATTTCATCATCCTATTATTTCTCTCCTATATGTCCACCTGATGAATCAGTGGTGATATATCGGGTTCTTTATTCTTAAACAGATTCTTAAAATTTTTTTGCAAATTTGCTAATTAATTTAATTAATTCAGAACATTACTAGGTACATTCAATTTCTTTATAAACAAACAAAATAATTATCTTGTTTGTCGCAGCTTCTAGATTAAGGTTTGAAATATTTGTTGTAATTAATCATAGAAATAATACTAATAATAATAGTATTATTTCTATGTAATTAATATTATCGGGCATAAATTGCACCAGGCCACAGGTTCGGAAACCATCTTTTATTATGTCAGTATTTTTTTTATTTTGTCCATTGTGAACTTGGACAAAACTCATCCCTAGTTAATTTCTTGTCATTAGTTTCCTTTCTCCATTTGTGATCACCACAAAGTCTTGAGACTTTGTCACGCTCATGATACATATGATATATATCATTGTCACGCTATATATGGTCACGCGTTTGCAACGAAATTGCAATAGGTTTTCGGCAACCATGACATTATCGGCAAAGAACTAGTGTTATTGTACAGAAAAGGAACTTAATAGTCATTAAGTATATTAAAATCTCTTGCCACGTTTCTGTGACAAAACTTCTCTATTTTTCGATCTATTTACTGATCCCCAAAGCATAACGATATTCAAACTTTTACGTCATAATTTTCTGATAGATGCGCTTAGATTTCAGCAGCTATTTTAATCACGAAAACGTAACTATTCGATACAGTAAAGTCTCTTTTTCGTCACGTAGTCTTGTGAACAATTTTATAGTTTTTTTATCGTCTCTAAAACGTATCGACTTCCTTAAATATGGCGTAACTGACGACTTTGGTCAGGTTTTCGTGAATCCCCAATTTTGACCAATAGTTGCACACAATATTTTATTCAACTATCACAAGGAATTTATTTGATATTTTATTTGACATCTGACAGCTGCCAAACAGTTTTAACCAAGGAGTTAACACACAAAATCCTTGAGTTTTAACATCACTTTTTTAATTTTAACTTTTAAAGATAACTTCTGCCTGTGGGCGAACTAAAATTTTCGCACCCGGTTAAATTTAATTAAATCAACTTAAGTTGAGTTAAATTAACTTAAGTTAATTAACTTTCTTAAGAAATGAAATATTTCATATAAAGGGTGTATCAATAAGAGCGCAAGATTTGAATTTCGCCTCAGTTTGGCAACCATGATGTCACATGATTAATGACATGACAGATTGATAGGAGACAGATGGGAGTTTGTAAATATGGAGCATTACACGATAGAACAACCCGTCCTGATTGTTAAACACTATTATCAAAATGATGAAAGTTTCATTGCCACGATTCGTAAAGGGCGTCCAATATTTTTTCGAAATAAAGTTCCTAATTCATCTACTGTGAAAAAAATAATCGAAAAATTTGAAAGCACTGCTTCTGTTAGTGATGTGAAACACACGACACGAGCTCTTTCAGAACAAAATATCGCAGCAGTTCGCGAGAGTGTGGCCGAGAGTCCAGAGACGTCGATTTGCCATCGTGCATAAGAATTGGACATTACAAAAGCCACTCTTCAGCAAATTCTTACTTAAGATTTGCATCTTCATGCCTACAAAGTCCAATTGACTCAACAACTCCAGCCAAAAGACCATGAACAGCGAAGGGAGTTCACCAATTGGATCACTGAGCAGCAAGAAGTGAATGCCGATTTTGCGGACAAAATCATTTTCAGTGATGAGGCCCATTTTCACCACTATTTAACACCCTTGGACTTTTGGCTGTGGGATTATTTGAAGTCACAAGTTTATGCCAACAAGCCCGCCACCATCGAAGCCTTAAAAGCAGAAATTAGACGCTCTATCAACGAAATACCGCCACATGTATTCAATAATGTTATTGCAAATTTTGTCAAAAGAATACGCATGTGCCAGTTACGCCATGGTGGCGATTTACCAGATGTGTTATTTTATACATAATTTCCAAATGTGTACTTTATAAATCAATAAATATTTCAATGCTTTAATACTTAAAACCATGTTTTATTAAACTTTGAAATCTTGCGCTCTTATTGATACACCCTTTATATACAGGGTGAGTTTTAAGTTCACGCGTTCCTTTTAACAGCGTGTAGAAATCAGATAGACAAATAAATATTTTAAGTAACTTTTTTATTAAAACTCAAAAATAAGCGAGTTATAGCCATTCAAAGTTTAATTAAATTTTGAGCCGGTCCTGGCTATTGTTTATCAAAAAACATAACCATAAAAATAAAAATAACAAAATAAACAATGCAAAATGTCATATATGACAACAAACCACAAAACTAGAAGGTTTTTTAGTTTTTTGCAACAAACATAACCATTTAAATCAAAATGACATTTAGCAATGAAAAATGTTATTATTTACTTAAGTTTTTTTTGGGCCTCAATTATAATTACAATATATTGTTAAAAATGTGTCATTTTGGTTTAAATGGTTATGTTTGTTGTTTGGTTTAAACCAAGGTTTAAATGGTTATGTTTGTTGTCATAGATGACATTTTGCATTGTTTATTTAAAATAAATTATTTTGTTATTTTTATTTTTATGGTTATGTTTTTTGTTAACAATAGCCAGGACCGGCTCAAAATTTAATTAAATTTTGAAGGGCTATAACAATCTTATTTTTGAGTTTTGATAAAAAAGTTACTTAAAATATTTATTTGTCTATCTGATTTCTACACGCTGTTAAAAGGAACGCGTCAACTTAAAACTCACCCTGTATATATCCATCCATATGGATGTTGAATAATAGTATATTGTGCAACTATAGTGCCCATGGGAGAAAGAGGAGAATTTGCCACACGAGCTAAAGTTAAATTTAAGTTGGAATTCAAAAAAAGTGAGTCACACAATATACTATTATATAACACATATGTTACCTGTACTCCACAAGGTACATTTCCAGGTATTAATTTCTTTAGTTCAGTACAAATTTTACTCATTGTAGCTACGATTTCTGGGCCTAAATGTTTAGATTGCATATATGGGACATCATGCATGTTTTCTATTAAGATTCCATCCTTAAAAAATCAAATAATTTTAATGGTTAATAAAAATATATCCAATCATACAATGTTTTGATTCAAATAAATTTCTGTTTCCTTGCACGCTTTGGATACTATTTCATCAACAGACCCAGAGAAAAGGGGGGTACCTAAAATATTATTTCCATTTTAAGTATCAAAGTATTTGTATTAATTTAATATGTACATACAAAACAAAATTTAATAAAACATATGGAGCAATTATTATGCAGGTCAGTGTATGTGCAAACATGTGACATGCGGCACACATTTCCTATGAAAACGTTGTTTTTTTGTCTATTCTATTACATGATAATGCAATAATTTTATAAGGTAAAAGAAAGTTAGTAGAAAGCGTCACCAAAAAGTTGTACCTTTATTTAAAATTAAATATATTCAAGTGACAGCACATGTGTGTTTCAAGGTTGTTAGGTATTTTAAATTTATTTTATTTGTGTAAAGATCAACGATTACCTGGTAGTGCATTTACATGAACCATTCCGATAACAGAACATTTTTTTTGATTAAAAAGTTGCCTGAATTTGTTCATCTTTCTGTGGTAAGTTGATTTTACTTTTAGGTTAGAAAATTATATCAGACACGATATCAGCATAAACATGCCTATAAGTACATAAAAAATTTGTTAAAAACCCTACATTTTGTGAATTTTTTATAGGTAAATACTCGAGTCGGGTTGGCATACATTAACATTCGTGAATAAAATAAATTTTCTTATAATGTAGGAATTTGTTATACACTCACCGACAAAAAAACCGGCACCTAAATTTTTTTACCAATTTTGACATGGCATAACTCTTTTATTTTTGATTTTATTGCAATAATTTTTTCGCTCAGGGAGCCAGTGGATGTCACTGACCTATCCTATGGTACCTATATCATCATTGTTTTTACCTCTAAAATCAATGATATTATTTGTCCAAGCATACAGTTTATTATGTAATATCAAGCAAACTTTTAAACTTGTTCAAAATCTGTTAGTAGGTAGGTAATTTGTTATCATTGATTACTGACAGTTCAGTTGTTATTGTGGTTTCTCTGGGGCTACATGAACAGTTTAGTGTACCAGAGAGAAGTTGACACATTAGAACAACTCCGCGAATTTGTCACTGCAGCCGCAGATAAAATCCGAAATCATCCGGATATGATAGCAATAACGACACATAACAATTTTATACGCCGCTGTCAACTTTGTGTGGATAACTACGGCGGGATAGTTAAACATTTACGAACATTTATTATGATTGGAGTGGGAGGGGGGGGTTTAAGGGTAAAAAATGATTTATCTCGATTTCCGGCAAAACTACAAGTCCTATGGAAAAAAGTTAAATGGCAAAGTTGTAGGTAATAAAAGGATCTACAACTTTTGTAATTACAATTTTTTTACATAACCTCAAAATTTATGTGAAAAGTTCAAAAAAACAAGTTTTTGGTTTTTTATTTTTATCTTTTTCAAACAAAATTTTTTTTCCACGAAATTTGGTGAAAACTTACCTTTTTATGTCCCAAATACACTGTAATTTATTTGATTTGAAATATTTATTATTTTGCCTTATTTCGACTTAATATCAAAAAAGCACCCTAATTTTCAATCGAAAATTCTCGCGTCAAAATATCAGCTTTTTTCAAAAAGTCGGTGTGCTTTTTGTTCGTTGAAATCTCTACTTTCTGATGGTGTAAAAAAATATACATTACTATGGTAAATGTTCTCAGAAAATGCAAAAAATATTATAATGAATAACGAAAAAAACTCGAATTCGAAAATTTATTTTAATCATTATGTACAATTTCATCAAAAAAATGTGATTGTTGCAATTTTTTTTAGTTAAAAAGTTTATTTATTAAATTCTAATAACATTTATGTCAGAAAATCTCATAAAATATAAAAATACATGTAAATCATACTATTGAATTTAGATACTTCATTCTGATTACGTTATTCATTATAATATGTTTTGTATTTTCTGAGAACATTTACCATAGTAATGTATATTTTTTTTACATCATCAGAAAGTAGAGAGTTCATCGAACAAAAAGCACAACGACTTTTTGAAAAAAGCTGATATTTTGACGCGAGAATTTTCGATTGAAAATTAGGGTGCTTTTTTGATATTAAGTCAAAATAAGGCGAAATAATAAATATTTCAAATCAAATAAATTACAGTGTATTTGGGACATAAAAAGGTAAGTTTTCACCAAATTTCGTGGAAAAAAATTTTTTTTTGAAAAAGATAAAAATAAAAAACCAAAAACTTGGTTTTTTGAATTTTTCAATAAATTTTGAGGTAATGTAAAAAAATTGTAAATACAAAAGTTGTAGATCTTTTTATTACCTACAACTTTGACACAGATCGCCCGTAATTTATTTTTCCTTTAATTTTTATTATATTCCCCTCCTTATCCAATGGGTTTCATCCTACTGTTATTTTTTTTCTCTTTTTACCATTTTTAAAGGCTTCTGCACTGGTCTATATTTGGTCTAAATCATATTATTAAACTCCGTACAGAAATAAAGCTAAAATATCATCATGTCAGTTGAACCTAACTTAAAAATGTTGTGGCAAAATCTTTAGAAATAATTAAATGCTTGAAAATTTTAAGGTTAAAATGTTAAAGGTTAAGCCAATTTAAAACAAAAACGTAAAAGAAACTGCTTGCTTATTAGGTACTTTGACGTTTTTGTTGTCAACTCAACGTGGTGTTCGCTGTATTTTTTTAAATTTCCACTTAATATATTGAGTACATTAGATTCAAAACTCAGTGTTAAAATTTTAAAAAATATATATTTTATCCTACCTATTTATGTACATAACTGCACTGCCTACAACATATATATAAGTATATATATATAAGTATCCTGCAAATACAGAGTTGTGCATCTAATGTATATTATACAGTGCCTGTTACATTGTTACTGCTACTGTTTTGACGTGTTGTAGGTATATGCCAGAAAAAAATACATTTTATATAATATAACATCATATACCTAAACAAAATAAAATAAATAAAAGTGTTTCACGTGCCATCTTTATTTTACCGTTGATTTTTGACATGTTTTGTATGCATAAATACACACAAGGTCTGTTCTATCTCGTTTCGCTCATACTAAAAATCACGAAGTTAGGCAACCCACTGCACAGACTTTAACGGTGTACATTGTTATATTGTTTACAATTCTTGTGTTTTTGGTTTGTGCTGTGCAGAGCAGCTTTTATTACGCACAGTATTTTGACCATGCCATGTCTGTACATTTTACACATAAAACAGAACTTATCAAGTTTAAAACTCACTATAACCTGCACGATTATTACACACAGTCAACAACAAACTTGTCCTGTTTAAAGAAATTTAAAGAAAGATATGCCAGTGGTCCCAATTACTGGCCCATCAAATTCATTTTTTAATTGGTAAGGCCTTTTATTCTTTTAATAAATTTTTAATCTGTACTGTACCTATTTATTGTGTATATTGTATATAAGCGTGTATTTAATATTTATAACATTCTGTACTGTGACGTATGTAAATACAAGTAAATAAGTACTATGACCTATGTAAATACAAGTGTATTAAATAAATAATAATGTAAATAAATATTATTATTATTACAATATTTTTTAAATACCATAATATATTGTATTATATATGTACAGAGCTGTCAAAGATACTTTAAAAAGTATCTAGTTACCTACTCTTTAAAAAAAGGAACTTAAGTACTTATCTTAAGTTACTTTTTAAGATAATTAATAAGATACTTTTTTAGTTACTTTGTATATCATGTATTCAAAGTAACTAAAAAAGTATCTTTTTAGTTACTTTGTATATCATGTATTCAGTACCGTCTTGATGCTCGAAGAGGTCGGATGCGTCAAGCTCCCTCCTAAGTGGCGTATACGGTACAAACGTAAAATACCAAAAACGAAACAAAGTATCCGGAAATGTCGGTGATCGTTAATGAATAATAAATAAATACATAAATAAACAATCAAGTGCAAGAAGTGCGAAAATTGTGAGATAACGCCGTAAAAGTGAGCAAGTGAATAAGTGCCTAATTGAGGCTGGGCAGCAACGATAAGTCAACCGGCGCACCTGGATCGGAGCGTTCCAAAAATGTCCTTTTTCTATGCAAAAACCTACAGGAGAAGGCCACCCCGCGAAAGACAAAGCATCAGGTTTATAGCCTAATAATCAAGCTAAGTAATTCTTCTAATTGCATGTCTTACCGTGTAATCGTTAAATGTTTATATAAGCATTTCACAATGTTGCAAAAAAATCTAAGAAATCTATTCGTCTTAAAAATTAAATTTAAAAAATAATATGAACATTTCCGTAACTGTTAAATAAACAACCTAACTTTCTCATAGTAGACAAACGTAAACAACCAGCGTAAAAGGCGTAAGCAAATAAACCAATTCAAGCAAGAAGACAAAAATTTATCATAAATAAATTTAGGGTCACACGGCAGATCCCATGGGCTGCAGCAAGCATTTTCCGTTGCTTGTCTCCATTAACATTGCCCGTATTCATTTCATTAAACATAACATTTATTTTACTTGAAAATGTTAAAATAACTTTAAAATATGATTATGTTTAGAACATATTTTACTCTTTAAACAATTGTTTTGTTTTTAAGTACTATCATTGCAAAATTGTATTAAAAAGTGTTAAAAATTCTTACACGGACAATGCTAATGGTGATAGGTATCGTTAAAGTGTTTATTGGGATATCTTTAAAACCTGCGAAGGGCGCGCGGCGTGGGGCAATAAGTCTGTCAACGGCAAGTGCGTAAAGCGGTCCCAATCGAGACCGAAAATAAACACTGGACTGACAGAGTAAACTAACATTGATCACAAATTCTAACACATTAAAAAAAGGGCCTAATAGCCAAACTCGAGATTTGTAAACATTAGACGACAGAATGATCGCGCTTGTGATTTGTTGGACTAGCGAATAAATCCAATGCCTTGGAATTTGATAAACAAAGACGGAACTCTACCACAAAACGTGCTTGGGACAAAAAAGTATTAAAAACAACTGACACACTTTACCAAGGGCAGGAGCTATCTGACCAGGACACGGACAATGACAATAACGAACAAGACAAAGACCTCGACTACACCCCTGCAGCGAAATAACAACTCCCCAACTCCAAATAGTAATCCCAAATGTTTGGAGTAAAACTAATCGACTGGTCTAGGGGGATTCCGCGTCGTACTTAGTTTTAAGTCGGCGTAATTGTCCCCCAAAAACCAACTCCCTCCCGTCCCTCATCCACACCCCACCGAGCGTATAGCATAGGCTCGGCGAACCCGGGAATGGCTATTATAACTATTCGCCTCTCGCTCTACGAGCCCCAAATAGGGGACAGTACGAAACGCAATGGACATTCGCACCCAGCAAACACGGGTGAAGCCGTGCAGTTGCTGGGGAAGAACAAAAATCGGCGCAAGTAAACATAGGCCTGTACGGGGTTCGAGAGTCAAGAGGAAATGGGGCTGGTTATACGTCTCTTATACTCATACTCATACTCATATCATGTATTAAGTTTGGTAATTGGGATTCCAATCCCAATCCCAATTCTTAACCTGCTGTCGTATTTGAACCATATGCAATCCGCATATTTTAAACCAACCAACAAAAATTCGCTCCACCCCCACCCTGATTTTAAACTAGCTTATTTTTTTTAATAATTTTTTTTTTCAATAAGATTTTGATAAAAACAATTAAAGGGTCAAATGCAAAAAACTTAGGCACTTTTAAAATAACTTAAAAATAAAAAGAGATACAATTGTTAATTAAGCACCTCTTAATTATAAACAAAACAAAATTATCTCACTTTCCATTTATTTTTTTTTTGATTTAATAATCTTTTTTTTAAATTTAAAATTGAAAACGTACATTGAACATTATAGAATGTAACCTACATCACTACATCATAAAGAAGCAAGTGCAACCTAACTTATTTCAGACTTATCGGAACGGGTCTAATAAAAACTAAAACAAAAAAACAAAAAACCCCGCCAGCCGCCAGTAATACCTTCGATGGCCGTGGCCGTTTCGAACAAATCGTAACTTATCTAAAGGAACTTTTCTTGCGGTAACTTACTTACTTTTTGGTATCTAAGTTACTTTTCTGTATCTAAGATACTTTTTTAAGTGACAAGATACGGTTCCTTTTAAAAAGTATATCAGATACTAGATACTTTTTGAGTATGAGTATGAGTATGGGAACGTATGGCAGGCCCCAGATATATTATCATCCACTGATCTCCCGGTGTTATTTTACCCCCTTTCCGTTCTCCTGCGTATCCCGCCAAATCACAGCATTACCTGTGTTTGTTGGATCCGAAGTTTTTACGCCGGCTGGTAGATCCACCCTAGGAGTTCGTGGATGACAGTGTCAAAGGTTAAGGCCGCTCCCGGGATTTTTGTCAGCCGGGTCGGGCCATACGTCCAGTTTAGGAAGGGTTTTTGGAGGACATTGAACTGACCCAAAACTAAGTACAATCCGGAATCCTCCTGAACCTAGGCCTTAGTAGTACCCCCATTCAATTGGTATTCGTGAATGGGGGGTGGGTATGTTAGTTATTTGCTTACTCCTATCTTTGTTGGTTTACTTCCGGTTCGTCAGTTTCTGTGTCCGTCTCCGGGTCGGCATGTGCCCAGTATTTTAGTTGTGCCACCCTGACACGTTTGGTGATTGTTTTTCCTTCTAGGAGGACTCTGGGCGATATCTTGTCAGTACATGGAGAGAAAAATTTTGCCAAAATAACCATCCAAAGCACCGTCAAACGACGCATCGCGAAATCAGTCAACTGTCCCACTAAACTGCGGATCTGTATGGCTAAATTAGCTATACAGATCCTCAGCCCAATAAAACAGCTGACCAAACCCACGATACGTCATCCAACAATACCCCGGATAGCCATTTCGGCAAAATTCCTCTCTCCGTGTACGCCCCTGTTCGTGATGTATTTCGATTGCGACGTTATAAATATGTCCGATGCTGCTATTGTTTCCAAACCCAGCCAGAAGCCGTTTTGTGCGTGGTCCTTTAGGTACGCCTCTGTTTTACGTTCCCAGTCGTTATTATGCGCGTAGCGGTGGGGTTGGTCAAGGATCGCATCCTGTAAGTATGGGCTGTATGTCTCAATGTGTGTTCGTAAGTGGTTATTTAGTCATTGTCTTAATGCGTATGTACTTGTTGACCCAGTCAGGCTATTATCTAGTTGATGAGCCAAGCTGGCCGGCCACTAAGCAATTTCCGTCGGATGGAATTTTAATTATTCCCACCGAATTATCAATCGTGTTTACTATTTCTATGTTTGTTATGGTTTGTGTTTATTTATTATTTATGGTTTGGCGTTTATTTGTGGTATTAGTCGAGTGTTTATTTGGGGGTGGAGCTAATGTCTTATCTGCCTTTTCTGTTTTGTTTATGTAATGATTTGAGTGTTGTCTGTCTCAATAGGAATGTTTATTTGCTGGGGCTTGAAATTTACTTTTCGGTATATAATACGTTTTACTTTAGATTTTTTGGAATAAAATGGTTTTTTTTAATAAGACATGCAGTTAGAAAAATTACTTAGCTTGATTATTAGGCTATAATCCTGATGCTAGGTCTTTCACGGTCTGTCCGTTATTTCTGGACCTCCCTGCAGGTTATTGACAGGCTTTGGTTGTGACTATCCCTGCTGACCAGTTGGACCGGTTGGCCTTAATTACTTATTCAGTTGCACTCTTTTACGGCTTTAACAGGGGATCTCCCGCACTTTTCACACTTGCACTTTTTTTTGCACTTATCACACTTTCCGCACTTGATTGTTTATTTATTTATTTATTTATTACCGATTACCGATATTTCCGAATACTTAGGTTCGTTTTTGGAACTTTATTACGTTTCTCTAGTATACGCTGCTAGGAGAGGAATCTTTAACTACTTGACGCGTCTATCCACTTCGAGTGTCAAAGCAATACTGATCTCAGATACTAGATACTTTTTGTTAAAAAAATAAAGGAATTAAGATACAGTAACTTAGATACTTTAAAGTAACTAAGATACTTTTTTCTGGCAGCTCTGTATATGTATTATGATATATACTGCTATTAAACATAAACCGAGACATAAACATAACATATATGTTATGTAAGGTGACCAACTTTCTAAAATAAAAAACCAGGACACAACATGGCCCTCCTCGCCCTAAAGGTACTCCCGAAAGTTCAGATTTTTATATTAATTTTTAACCTGACCTCCGACCTCTTTTAATAAAAAAATTGGAAGAAATCCTAAAAAATCAGAAAAAACTCATATTAAAGAAAAAACGAGTTTTTTTCTTACTTTTTTACTACCCTAAAGGTACTCCCGAAAATTCACATTTTTTTATTAATTTTAACTTGAGCCCCGACCCCTTTTAATAAAAAAATAGAACAAATACTAAAAAAATGGGAAAAAGTTAGATATAATTAAAAAAAAAATTAAACGAGTTTTTTTATACTTTTTTACTATCCTGAAGGTACTTTCAAAAATTCAGATTTGTAAATTAGTTCAAAACCTAAGCTCCGACCACTTTAAAAAAAATTAGAACAATTCCTAAAAAAGTAAGAAAAAGTCATAATTTTTTTTTCAAACGAGATTTTTTCTTACTTTTTTACTCTTCTAAATGTACTTAGGCTTAAATCTTTAGCCTCGTTATTAGTGGAATAAATTAGTGGTTTCAATTAACGTAAAAGTTTGTCTTATGAATATACATGTATACTAGTAGTATACAGCTGTGCACAGTGTTGTTCACAACCAAAAATTGAGTGGTAGTACTTATTTTTTTCAATTAGTGGAAAGTTCGCAAACTTGTATTTAATTTGCTCTACCAAAACTAAGAGGCGCCGTTCGGTCCAATATAAAATTAAGTGTTTATATATAAATTTTCATCTTTGATTGAAAATATTCTTAATATATAAAAGATTTTTTCTACTTCCACCTTTAGAACGTCCATTATCGTACATGTTTCTATGACACTAAGTGACCTTTTAAATACACATTGACAATTAGTGGCGTTTTAGTCACAGGCTGAAGTTAGCAACAGGTTTTTAGTCACGGGCTGAAGTTAGCTTTAAGTTAGTTGACAGTTGTCAAATGTCTTACAATCGTTAAAATAAAGTGCCCTTCTTCTAAAATAATACTAAATGTAAAAATTATTTTATTATCTCAATACAAAAATACAAAAGCATTAAATAGTTTCTCAACGCCAATATTTGCAAAGTTTATTTGAACATTGTACTGACCTTTTAATTTCGCCGGCAGTAAACTAAATATAACTTAAATCGGGCTCGGACTCCACCGTGAAGTGCTAATAAAACATTTTATTTACTTTCACTGTGAAAAACTGTTGTTTAATCCATTTTCAAGAAATACATTTTGATTTATCATCTTATGTTTATAACATATAAATTTGACATTTGACGGTAACGAAGATTCCCCTATTTTTTTTATAGATGGCGCTCTATACAAATATTTAATTTAAATAATTTTTAGATAATAATAAGTATTTGTCATAGAAAAAGTAACTCGTTTATAAACTTTTCTAGCCACTTATTAATTTAAGCACTCGCTCGTGCCTAAATTAAATTCGTATCTAAAATGGCTTTTATCAAACTTGATACATACATATATGTATCAAGTTTGATAAACGCGTATTATATAATAATGTTTACGAACATCTAAGTGGCGCCCTTACTGCACGAGGTATATTGTGGAAGCTTTAAAATAAATCATTCACAAGCGAAATGAAATCACACAATTAAAATTATATAAGTATCCAGAATATTTTTAATCAAAGATGAAAATGTTTACGAACATGGCCCTCTTAGGGTTATTCGATATCTCGTGTAGAATTCCTAATTTTTAACAAAAGGTACCTTGTTAAATAAACTCTCTAAAAATTGATATGATAAATTAAAAATATTTTGTACAAAATTTTATCATCTAAAAAAAGGTTTTTTGTTTCTTAATATTAAAAGTCAATTTCTCGAATAATAGCTCTAGAAATGTAAATTCGTGTTTATGTTATACCTAAAAAAAATAAAACTCATTTGTAACATAATTAATTTTTATTGTTTTCAACTTTTTATAACATTTTAATTTATCATCACGTCTCACTGATTTAATTTTTACACACTTGTAATAAAATTACGCAGTTTTTTGAAACCTTACACACTCATTTGACATTTTTTTTTAAATAAAACACACTATGCATACATTATTAATAAACTACCATCTAGTCGTGCATCATACATAATAATATTACATACCCTTAACTTACAAGAGCTATAAGCTCAGAACCTATCAAGCAAATATACATTACATACCAATACGTTAGTTCATGCTTTCAATCATTCAACCAATTGACTGCATATTCTATGAGAATAATAAAACTTATCCGCGAAATGAATAATATTGTTATTATATTTTTAATACTTTAAAAATAGCTATGTGCATTATAAATCTTTGCGTTAATACATATCTTCGGTTTTTTAACTGTTTTTTACATTTTTATAATCAAGCTCAAGTGATTGAATTTATATATTTTTTTCACTTTTTTTGCTACAACATTCAAAAAACAATTAAGATTAAATGGTACATGGAGGCGGTTGGATCGGCTGTGAACATGAGTTATGAATTAATTATTTATTTATTTTTGTACTGTTTCAGTGACAGTTTTGCTTGTAAACTACAGTGACACGGTTATATTGAAAAAATCGATAAACATACAATGAACATCAAAAGAAAATAAAATCACATTATTTACTCAACAATATCCCTAAAAAGTTGTCCTATTTTACAATATTAGTTAGGTATATAAAATATGTATTTTTGTTAGCTGAATGGTTTGAGTAAATCTTGTGAGTATTTTAGAATATTAAGTATTTATTTATTAAATTGTTTGTTTTTAGCGCCTGTCGACTGTAGTAAGACAGCATTTTTTATATTTTCCTAATCTTGTAAAATACACAAGCAATCCCAACAGGGGAAACTTCGATTAATGTCCTCTGTTAAAATTGCTTCATGTGTTTGCTAGATAATTGTTATTGTTAAGAATATATTAACCTGCAAACTAAACTGCAGAATGTCATAATATATTGTCAATAATATTTGTGTTTTTATTTTTTATTGAGTTCATGAACCCAACATACATTGAATCATACACGCTACTGCTACAAATACATTACAATTACAACTAATATTCATAAACTCAATAAATAGTGCAACAACGTCTGACTAAACCTAACTGTTCGAAAAAAATAGATAATCAACAAAAATAATTTACTTTAAAATATAGTTTCTCACTAAAATAATTATAATAAAAATATACTTTTCTCTCTATGTACAAGAATGGATCACATTACACAAATGTACAGGAAACTGGCCACTTTAAAATTAATGCCCAGTATCAACGAAATATTTTGTTTTACATATTCTTAAGCAAGTAATGTGACATATTTATAAATAAAAAACATATGAAAGACTTAAATAATAAAGTTTACTTTTCGCAACATTTAATGGTTCAACGCGTACATATTTAACATGACACAAAATTCTCAAAACTTTAATGAACACAACACGGTGCTTTGGTATAATTTTATATATTTTTGATCACGCGTGCTTTATACTTTGAGATTTAACCCCCTATTTTCATTCAAGACTTATAAATAAACACAACTATATAAAGGGATTTTTAATTAATATTCCCTTGTCAAGAATTAATAATTCCATAGATAAATATACACCTACAGATCAAAAAGAAGTCCAGAATGAAGATTGAAATATGGACGCGTTTTTGGACGTTTAAAAGTTGCGAAATGAGATCGGAGTTTTTTGTGCTCAGCACTTGCGGTTATTGTTGGCATGGGAACGATTAGCACCCTGTGATCGTTCGCCGCGCCTCTGTCGACGGTTGCGACTGTTTACTTCACGAGCCTTATTGTTGCGGTCCAAATGCCCACGTTTTATAGCCTGGCAAGCTTTTTGCATTTGCACCTGAAAAAAAATAAAATCATCAATGGAATATGTACAAAAAAACTACCCTTAAACCAGCAGGTTGTGAGGAAAAAATAAGGGGTCATCCATATACCCCGTGTCCAAATTTATAAGCTCACCATTGCTATTAGTTAAACTCTGTTATTATTTGAGCTAAAAAGTCGGTTAATTTAGCAAATTGGTGAAATTTTGTCTTCTAATTAAAATGTGAAAACAGAAAAACAATTGAACGTGGGGTTTCCGAAATATTTACAAAAATACATTTTTTTTTAAATGGGCATCCTTTATATTTTTTAAAATTTTGAAAGACAATTTAATTTGGAACAAAAGGTTATTATTGCATAGCTACCCTAAACTTACAAATAAACAATTAATAAGCATTTGAACTTTTTAAAGGTTCTTGAAATAAATTTATTTATCTTCAAGCTTTCTATACATAGTTTAACTTTTATTATTTTTAACGCTTACTACCAAAGTATTTAAATATCTCCTAGGCTGTAAAAATAATTTAGACCAATTAGGTGAAGTTTTTTACATCCTAGTCTGTAAAAAACCGTTAGGACCAATCAAAAATTGTTCTAAGCTATCTAACCTCACTTATACCTTTAATAATTGTTATTATAATTGGAAACACGTTTAGTGTAACGTTAAACAAATAAAACTGTACCTTGCAAGATATAATATTGTATGCCATTTGGCTGAGATGAGCCTTTTCTGCATCGCTCAAACTTTGAGCTCATCACAAAAAGAAGACTCGGATCTTACCCTTGTGACATAAATAACTAACAACAATATGATAGTTTAAGTGCTTATTAATTGTGTATTTTTAAGTTTAGGGTAGTTGCAATCATTTTTTGTATTCCAAAATATGTAAAAATATACATTAAAAAAAAATGTTATTTTTGTGAATTGTTTTATCTGGTTTGCCATTTTAATCAGCAGAAAAAATCCCACTAATTTAATAATTTAACCAACTTTGGACACAATACAGGGTGTCCCAGAAGTCGCGAACCGCCTTAGAGGAATCCCATTGTTAAAAAATTGTATCTTTATTTAATAAATAATTTAATAATATTATTTAAAAAGATATGAGGGCGTAAACATTGAGTTTTTAAACTTAAACATAATAGGTATAGTGTATTGAATGTTCAAAGAATGATTTCATTAGTAATTATTGTTTCATCTAAACTCTGTGGGTAAAAGGCATAAGGGGATAAGTCAAAAAAAGCAATTTTTCGGTAGAGATTTAAATGTGTTCGCATTAATTCAGGAAATATATTTATGGTTAGCGAGTATACCCTTTTGCTAGCATATGACATGTGCTGGCAAAAGGGTATACCTACCCGCTAACCATAAATGTATTTCCTAAATTGATGCGAACACGTTTAAGGCACTGCTAAAAAATTGATTTTTTTGACTTATCCCCTTATGCCTTTTACCCACAGAACTATTGTTTATGCAACATAATGATCAACAATTGATTATCACAAACATTATTTGGTTAATTGATTTTTATCTATTGACATCACACCATACATTTAGCCTGTGTGTGTCAATTTAATGTTAATATTTGTTTAGTATTTCTTCCTAGATTTAATCTATGGTTTTATTTTTAGTATTGGTGTTTGTTCTCATAATAATTAAGAATGAATTTACCAATTTATTAGTATTGTCATTAAAAAATATATGTATCCCCTGTACCTTTTTAAATGTAGGTCGATTTTTTAAACAATTTTCTGGGACTCCTGGGGGTCCGTAGATCATACACCTTCAAGGTGGTGCGCGACTTCTAGGACACCCTATATATTTGATACCGGTAACCTTGTCCCAACCTACACAAAGAGTCCGAACTTCATGTATACACAAATCTTCCTAAGATAAGAGGGCGCTGGTGTTCCGTTTATTAATAAACAATTGTTTGATTTGTACTGAAAGGCTACCAAAACAACAGATCTCAAAACGCATCGACAATCGACAAAAAACTCCTAATTTGTGCGATTTAGGTTTTGTCAATTTCCCCAATAAAGTTCGGGCTCCTTGTGTAGCCTCCATGGATTTTACGCTCGGTTACTATTGTCATCTGTCACCTGTCACCATAGAATAATTTTGAATACCAGCTTTTTGAAATTCCATCCCGAAGGGGTAAATTGGGACACTCCAAAATTCTTAGAAATATTTTATCTAAATAGGGAGAATCAAAGATAATACCCCCATAGATTGAAAACTCTCCCACCACTGCCCTCTGCCCACCCAAGCCAAAAAGACTCATCTCGTTATTATTAAATTATTCTCAGCAAAAAAGACGCATTTTAACTATACATACATTTTTAAATACTATTGCTTCTAAAAATTTCTAATTAAATTGAACGTATCTTATGAAAAAAACAATGTGGAGTTGCGTCTTTTTGGCTAAGCACGGCAGTTTCGCTCTAGCGTAAAAATACTGTTTGTTAATTATGAATTATTTAGGATTGCTTGTTTAATGGTAATTTAGTCCAGGCCAAGCCCAGGCTACTTATGGTTGTTTCAAAACCAAGAGTTGGCAAGATGGATTTTTCACGGTTGGTTAGAACTTTCCAAAAGTCCACACTCAAAAGCCTTGTACAAATTCCTATATGTATTTCTTTCTTTCTTTCATATGTATAAGTAGCCTGGACTAAATTACCAAATTCCAATTCCAAATTACCAAATATTCTCTTATTATTGAAGAATTAAGACTAATATTTTTTAGGTTTGCACTCCCCAAACAAAAACATATTCATGTATACCGATTATGTATTTAATATTTACATATAGATGTATGTATTTTATGTTATATTATATTATTACTACAATAAATAAATCTTATATTCATACATTCAAATATGGCGTCAATATATGTTACAGAAATCTACTTCAATTTTTGGCATTGCTAAGGGTATTGTAGAGCTAGGTTAATTTACTTTAGCCTTTTGCCGCTAGCGCTAGTACAGTTTCCAATCTATCAGGTGTATTATCTTTGGGGAGAATTCTCTATTTAAACGTCATAGGGAGGAATATATGTCATTTTTAATCAACAATCTCGAATAAATTCGGCGTATTATTAACCACTTAATAAAGAATATTAAAAATCTCTTTAATATTTTCTTAATTACAAAATATCTACCCTGTCGCAGCTCAATAACCACCCCCAAAAGTGTTTTGCTAGTTTACTTTACTACAGGGATGCCGTTTTTCCTAGATTAACTTGTCTAAAAGATATCACTTAAAGGTTTCTAATGTAATATATTTGATGATATCTACACTTTTTTGCTTAATTTAGATAATTTCTGTCCCAACCCAACCCTCAATAATAAATATTTAAAAACGTGTTAGTTCTAAAGATAAATTACCTTTTGAGCATGTTTGCTCTTAATCTTCTGTTTCTCCTGCTGCTGCAGGACCTGTTCCCTGTTTACCCTGGGCTGTCTGCGGTGCACCAGCGTCACCTGCTCCTCTTCCACTTCCTCGACTTCAAAGTCCTCATCGGCGGCGGGGGCGGGCGAGTCGGCGCGCAGAGTGGCGCCGTAGAAGGCGCCCGCCGCCCCGCCGTGCCTCCTCGGCAGGTGCGAAACGTACACGCTCATGCTGGGATGCTCGATGAGCAGGTTTTCCAGCGGTGACGTCTCCAACATGACTGGTCCCGCCGACGTGAAACAAGGGGGCGGCGTAAGGAACCACGACTCCTCCATGTTCGCGCAGGGAAGGGAAGACGTCGAACTTGTCCTAAAAATAACGCACAATTTATTATTTCGTTTAATTTTAGTCATTGGAAAAGCATCTGTCTAAAATTCATTAATCCGCAATGGGTGGTTTTGCGTTCACAAAACCAATAAAAAGAGAAATATTAAATTTAATTACAATTATTTTTATACATGGTGTTAAAATGGCGCACTATAGTGCGTTATAACGCTGTAGTTTAAGTTATTATAAACATTTAAGTTTAAATAAACTTGTCAACACTGTCTTTTTAAACCAATGTATGAGACATCTATATAAGATTGTTGATGAGACATCTATATAAGATTGTTATGGACATCTATATAAGATTGTTATGGAAACAAAATAAACAAAAAGCTAAAATTGACATGGTTGACAAAATTAATGTGTTTTTTGGAATGTGTCAAAAAAATTAAAGCAAATTTTTACTTCATGTTTTAAAAATCTTTAGAAAAATGGTTTTTTATCCTTTTATATAAATATTATATAAATAAATAGTTAGGTATTTATGTATCAAGGCAGTAATATGAGGCGCCGTTTGTGCCATAATTATGATTTGTAAAATATATAATAATTTCTAAAATAAATATATATTTTGTTTAAAATATAAATATTTTATCTAAAATATATATATTTTAGCTTATTTTATAACATAAATATTAGTTTTACTAAAATATAATAATATTTTTACAAAATAATATATATTTAAAATATTTATATATTTGGACAGTTGAACTAATAATATAATTTTAATACTATAAACTCAGCTTACAAGACGTAACGCCAGGAGGCGCTGGCTGCTTTATTTAACTTGGCAACGCAGCCTGTCTGTAATTGCATGTCGGAATTACTGTGGTGTAAATTAAATAAAACTAGAAGACATTAAAAATAATAATACCTCTGGTACGTAATAAAGCACTTGGGTAAAAGTTTAAATTAAAATCTAACAGATTAATAGGTCATTTAAAATTTCACCGCAGTAATGGAACCAAATCGACGACATAGTTTTGCGTAGCCCAGAATTAAGGAATAAAAAATTATTGTTTAAAAAGAGAGTCACGACAATAAACATCCAGTTAAACATATAAAAAATAACAAAAAGCCAAAGTGCGGCAAAAAGTTATTTAATTTACACCACTGTAATTCTCACATGAAATGAAAGAAAGGCTGCGTTGCCCAGTTAAATAAAGCTGCAAGCGCCTCCTAGCGTTACGTCTTGTAAGCTTAGTTTATATTATTAGTATTGAGTTTATATTATTAGTATTACTGTTTTAAATATATATTATTTAGTTAAAATATATATTTTAGTAAAACTAATATATATCTAAGAAAATGAGTTAAAAAATATATATTTCAAACAAATTATTTATATTTTTACAAATATTTCTATATTTTATAAATCATAATTATGGCACAAACGGCGCCTCATACAGTAAAGTCGTATTTAAAAAAAAAAAAGAATTTAATGCTGAGGTGCACATTAAATTTTATCTGAAATCGCATAATAATACTAATAATTAATATTGATGATCAAATCAAATCAAATTAGGATATATTTGCCCGCCGCGGCGATTTCTTAATTTAATTAATAAAATTAACTTATTATTTTTATTAAAAACAACATTTTATGAAAGGGTCCAATCGACCTCCGCAACGGTGCTTTTAATTAAATATTATTTAGTTGCTGCTAAGGAGCAGTAGACACATCTTAAAATGTATAATGGGTTGCATACATTACTCGTATTAAATCGGCAGTAAAGTTTTACTTTACTGCCGATTTCTTTTACTTTTTTTACATAAGAATTGGCTGTTAAATGTTGGGGATAAGTGAAAAGCAGTAACTAGTAATTTTTGACTAATTCATTTTTAGAGAGTGAGTCAACGATTTTACAAAGATAAACGTTTTATTTTATCCAAGAAAACGAACTAATCCCCCTATTTTGCTTGGTTCTTTTAATTTTAAAGAGGAATATTTATACATATGAGACATTCTTTTACATATCGTACGGATTACAGAAAACATATTTTTTTAAATTTTTAAAATGACTTAATTTTTTTTTATAGCATCTTTTCATAAATTTAGCCGACCCCTATATTGGAATTTTTGCAGAAAATTTATTTTTCCAAAGATATATTGATTTAAACTTTTGATAAAATTTGAAAAAATGCTGAATTCTTTTGTACTTAAAATTCATTATCTCCGGTTCTACTGATCGGATCGATTTAATTTTTTTTTTATTTTAAACCATATTACATAGTCTTTTTCGATAAATATTTAAAAATTTTGTGTTTTGTTTATTATATGAAAAAATATATTTTTTTTTTGTATAAACAGATTTTTTGTGTTTGCCCCCTCTATGAAAAAAAATTAAAAAAATACTGTTCTATGCACTATTTATTACTCTACAAAATGAATTTTTCAGAAAAATGGAGACTTTTTTGGATCGGAAGATATTAAATATTTTCGAGCGCGTGACCGGTACAAGCCGTAAGGGGGCATCCATTAATTACGTGAGGCGTTTAGGGGAGGGAGGGGGTCAAGCCAAATCTCATCAATTCTCACGTAAGGGAGAGGGAGGGTCTCGGCAAATATCACGTAATTTTTAACAAAGTATTTTTTTTTAATAAATCCAACAGAATCAAGCAGTTTAACGTATAAACATTAAAAATAAGCATTTTTTAAAATCTCACGTGAGATTAGGGGGAGGGGGTTTAGCCAAATCTCACGACATCTCAGCAAGGGGGGAGGGGGTCAAAAAATCGCTAAAATTGACTCACGTAATTAATGGACACCCCCTAATCAGACATCTTCGAAACGCTAACACATTTAGGATCAGTGATGCCGCCGATACGAGAGATTCTCGCCTCTCGTCTCGTCTCGTCTCGACGAGACGAGAGGGAGATTTTCTCTCGAAAAAAGGCTCGAGACGAGACGAGAGAAAGCCCTCTCTCGCTCGAGAATTTCTCGTTTCTCTCGATCTCTCTCGTTCTCTCGATTATTCCGGTAATAAGTAAACAATTTTTTTACATAAAAATTTTAATTTTGCGATATTTATTTGGACCAATGAGAACATTATTCGCATTTCATAATAAACAAAATTTGTTCCTGTATAACGTTTTATTATTTTATAACACAACTTAAGGTAACCAAGAAAAAAATTACTTATAAAATAATATTAATTTTTAAAATTTACCCTGTATAAGCACATTTATGGCACTCCTTATACTATTAAACAACCCGTGCTTAATAAGCATTGCTTATTCAATGAACTTATCAACAACATGTGGTTTTTGAGGGGCTGATTAAAAATTTGATATCCATTTCTTCAAAAAATAAAATGGCTGATCCAATATGACGAAAATTTGTCGTTCGGCTTTAATGGTTTGGGTAAAATTTAGTATTTAGATATTTATGGGGTCCCTGATTAAGAATTTGATATCCATTCAAAAAACAAAATTGCGGATTCAAAATGACGGACATGCGCAGTAGGTACAAGATGGTTGGATCTATGTGGAGTAGTTACATCATATAGACGCAGTAGTTTTCAGATGGATGGATGATTTGATCCATCCATCTGAAAACTACTGCGCCTATATACTACACTGAGAAAAAAAATGGGACAAATAAACTGTGTAGCTAATACTTTTTATTAATAGTGAATATATTGTTTATTACCTCTAAATAGTCGAAATAATAACGATAAATATACTTTAGTAAAACTTTATGTGTCGGGAATAAAAATATATTTAGGATAAATATACTGTCCCATATTTAAATATTTTTTTTATTTGGGAGCAATAAACTTTTTTCTCAGTGTTACAGTTACATCTATAAATGTAACTACTCCACATAGATCCAACCATTTGATTCAAATGTGCGACAATTTCGGCGTAAAAAGTCTTACTTTATCAGTGTGGTCTTGGCGCAATTTTTTTTATTTCCAGTTAAAATTTATATAGAAAAAATATAAACGAATTCGTATTTAATTGCAAATAATTTTTGTATTCATACATAGGTACTTTTACCACGAGAGAAACGAGACGAGACGAGAGAAAGGCACTCTCGAGCGAGAAAAGAGTATTCTCGACGAGACGAGAGACCCATTTTCTTTCGCTGCACGAGACGAGACGAGAGAAGGACTTTTCTCGTCTCGTCTCGTCTCGCGGCACCACTATTTAGGAAAGTGTAAACTCATACATCGTTTTAAAAAAATACCAGCGCTTTTTGTAAATTAATTCTGATTTTAAAGGTTTTCAATAATTTTAAATAAATTAAATTTTAAATAATACAAACTCCAATTAATGAGTAAATTTATTAACTGGCAGAATTGACATTTGCACAAATAAGTCACCAATTAAAAGATGTCAAATCATGGCACTCTTATACAAAATATCACGTCACCCGCCACATGCACTAATACGTTTGAATATTACGCGCTTGACAGTCCTGTCACGCGCTCAAAAATGTTTAATATCTTCCGATCCAAAAGAGTCTCCACTGTTCTGAAAAATGTATTTTGTAGATAAAGAAAAAGCGCATAAAATAGTATTTTTTTCATTTTATTTTATAGAGGGGGCAAACATGAAAAACTAGTTTAAAAAATTAATCTGTTATTAACTCCCTATACTTAAAAAAAAAAAAATTTAAATTTATTTATTTAAAAAGCCTATTCAATAAGGTTTAAAACAAAAAAAAAACAAAATCGATCCGATCAGTAGAACCGGAGATAATGGGTTTTATGTAGAAGAGAATTTATCGTTTTATCGCAATTCATAAAAACTTTATATCAACATATCTCTGAAAAAACAATTTTTTTACAGAAAACCTGATACACGTATCTGCTTATTTACTGAATAGAAGCGGTAAAAAAATTTTCATGCGAATCTAAACCCTGATGTCAAAATAGGTGTACGATTTGTAAAAGAATGTCTCATATACACAAATGATTAAAAGTTATTTTTAATCTATGTAAATATTAAGAGCGTGATCGGACTTAATAATTTTAAAAATATGGTTCAAATTACAAAGATATAATACTCAAACATCATGCTAAAAGAGTGATTGATATGTGTTTAGTAAATATATAGCATATATTAGGTCAATAATAGGTCAATGTACATGTTTCCTTTTTTATAAAAAATTTTAGCTTATTAAATATTAAAAATTTGATTGCAATATTATAATTTTGTTGACGTTTCTAAAAACCAATAGAAACTTTTAATGCTAGTCATGTGTGTACGTTTTAGCCAATCAAAACATTTTTATAGAAAAAATAATTTACTTACAATATTGCGGGAAGAATAATTTAAAGTATTTTTGAAATTTATGTTTATTAAGGCATTGTTGGGTCCAAAATAATTTATGAATATCACACAAGAGATCGGTAAATTAACACGTTGACTGCTAGGCATATATTTTGTAAACTCAACGGGGTTGACACAAGAACACAAATTTTTGTCTACTGTCCACCCGAATGGGTGGACAGTAGACCTTTCTTTATTGCCATATATGATTTAAATCGATAGTATAGTTTCCTTTTTATAGGTGTGTTTACTTATTTGTACGTACAGAGCGCTCTTTTGTCAGTTTTTCATTCTTCCAAATTACAGGTTTCTATCTTTGTACTGTCCACCCAAATGGGTATACACTGGTACTTAATATAGGATACTGAATACTATACAGTATCCTATATTAAGTACCAGAGTGAGGTTAGATGATAAATTTAATTGTTAATTTTGTATTTAAATAGTTTTATAATTTTATTGTGTAGGTACCCATTTGGGTGGACGCTACTAGTAAACAACCTTGTAAAGAAGTGATGTACACCCATTTGGGTAGACAGGTTAAACAATCCAAAAAACTTGTAAATTTTATAAGAAACATATCGTCACCGTTCTGGCAAAAGTCATTAACTCCATTTTTGTCTAAAAGTAGTTAACTACCTTCGCGATCATAGAACAATTATATCTGTGGTCTAGAAAAACTTATTAAGTGCAGTATTGTATTTTTAGCATGCTAAAAATATAATACTGCACTTAATAAGTTTTTCTAGACCACATATATAATAATTATTATTATTGTTCTATGATCGCGAAGGTAGTTAACTACTTTTAGACAAAAATGGAGTTAATGACTTTTGCCAGAACGGTGACGATATATATGTTTGTAAAATATGTCTACGATAAATATTAACTAAGTTATAGCTCTGGCACCAGGGGGAGTACATGTGTCTACCCAATTGGGTGGACATGGCAGTCAACGTGTTAAAAATAATTCCCCAGATTTTTTTTTCAAACTTTTTGCCATTTGGCAACGAACACTCGAGCCCTACGGGCCTTTGAGTCTATTTCCTGGCAACAGATTTTTAAAAATCTGTTGAAATTTTTGCAATGTCTTCTCACTTTCTTGTAATATTACAACTGAATATTTCACACATGCATTGTTGTAACAATGTGTATACAATGGAAACCCAAAAAAATACAGTAAAACACCACGTTGCATTGACAACGGTTTGTTTGTATTGTAAACCAAAAACATCAAGGTAATAGGCAAAACAGTTTTTCCTTCGTTTTTGCAAAAAATAATTCTTTTTGTAATATACTAGAAGAATCAATTGACAAAACACGGTGAAAAGTAAAAATAGTTACAGTTGATTAAGCATTTGTGGTATCGATAAAAATAAATTTAATTTTAAAATATGATTAAATAAAGAAGTTAAGATCTAGAAATTTTGTAAAATCCAAGCAAAATATAAAAATGCAAAGAATTAATTAATCGTGTTCTTTTAACATTGTGTGACATATACGACCTTATAATGTTAATTACTGTTTCCTGAGGATGCACTCGTAACAGTAACATTTTACAATTCAGTTTATTTATTTAGGTTGTTTCTTACTGTATATCCTGAATAAAAGTTGTAGTTTTTCTCCGACTGTTAAATGAACAGGACCTGGTTCATTTGACAGAGTGGTCTATGAAAAAACATCAAATACTACAACGAAAAACCTTAATTTCTCTTACCTAGTAATATTTGGCAGTGGTTCGATACGGTCCTCATTTTCGTCCTCGTTTATGTCTAAACTTTCGACTGAGCTAGCTTCCGAATTACCCTCGCTGTCCCTGTCGACCAATACCCAGTCGTCTTCCGACTCGGCCGACCTCAACCTACTGTTAGCGGCGTTGCTGTTGTGTATGGCTTCGACCCCCTCTGCCGTTGCTCTGTCTTGTTCTTGATTTGTAACTGAGCCCAGCAGATAGTTGGCGAAATTTTGGAACATTGTCTAAAATAAACACACAAACATTATTTTTTTGCTACAAACAGCTTTACCACATCTGTCACAATGGTTGTGAAATGTTCAGGTTTAATTTTCAATAAAATATGTACTGTTATTACAATTGGTTACTTTGGTTTAATAATTAAATTATTTGACAGATTGAAAACCCATATTAATTTGGCGCGTCCATTTATTTTATAACGCCAATAACTACAGCACGAAAGGTGGGAAAATTCAATGCAAATTTTCATTTTTCAAAAATGATTGTTTAGTTTTAGTTTTCTTTTATTAAACTAAAATTACAAATTTGATAAATTTATATTTCGACCTTTTAGCTCCGAAATTAAGTGAGTTCAAACGAAAAAATGGACTTGGCAGTTTAACACATTTAGGTGAAATTTATGGAAATCCCCGTAATTTTCGTACTATACCAATAACTACTAATATTGATTCCCAACAAAATATAAAATGTTTTGTAAATGATTTTTGCCCTTAAAATTTTCTATTGACATTCAATCAATTTAAGTTAAGAATTTAAACGGTCAAAAAATAAATTAGTATAAAAGTGTCAAAAATGGCGAATGCTCCGGGATTAAATACCGAATTTTATTATTATAATAAAATACACAAAAATGCACATTAGTGCATTTGTACGTGCACTAGAAATATATACAATAAAACTTGATACTTAATAATATAATTATAATATAATTTAATATAAATATAGTGTAGAAGCAAAAATATATCAGTTCTGATCTACATAATCCATTTGCCCTAGTAAAGAATATGTATAATAGATAATTATCTTATACAAAACAGGTATGAAGTAAAAATGTTTTTTTTTAATAAAATATATGGGTACCTTTTAATTATTTTTTAAAACAATTTTCTGAATTACAGTAATTCTAGGTAAATTTAAAACATATTTTGGATATTTTTTTTTAATATTTTTTGATTTGACTTTTTTAATATTTTCCGGTAAAAGATTGTACATTTTCGGGCCCAAGTATTTAGTACATCTTTGGCCAATGTTTTTTTTTATTTTTTGGAGTGGTTACTTGAAATTTTAAATTCTTTTCTTGTAGAGTGTATATAAATATGTAAAATGTGTTAAATCTATCTATTTATGCTTTAAGTTTTTACTTTGAAAAACCATTTTACCATACCAATATCAAATACACTGCCCTTTTAGGTTATTTTGCTGCAAAGTGGTCATTTTTGACAACTTTAAAGCGCTGTATTTTCGTTACTGTTCGTTTTATTTATACAAAATTTTCAGGGTATACTAACGAAAATAAGGTCTTTAACATCATATTTTTTAATTACTGTAAAAAAAATTCCCTAAAAGTTATTTTTCGAAAGTTTTTTTATTATTAAATAAAAGGGCTTTAAAAATATTTTCCCGAAAAACCCTCAACCACGTAAAATGAAATATAAGTTGAAGTATTTTTATACAAATTTCCTAAAGATTGGTAAAGGCGTTTTAAATTTTTTTCGCATTATGCGTTAATTTTGACGGGAAGTGTACATATTATAAGTAAATATTGATTGATATTTTTTAATTAACTAATAAAAAACTTCCAATCAAATAAATGTTTACTCTATATAACACTTATTTCCATCGTGTATTATGTATTTTAATTATTTTATGCGTGTAAACAAACTCCACAAATTTATTGACTTGTAAAACGATTATCGCCGTGGCAATTATTTTTTATAACCCAACGATAATGAAGTACAAAAAATTCTTTGTTTTCATAATTAAAGCAAGCATTTTGGATAAGTTCCAGTGGCTTGGCTTTTTTATGTTACGCTTATTATTTGGATCTTTTGGCATTGGTAATGACTTTGAAATAACTTACTTCCCACCTAACTTTTTTTGTTTTTAGAGTTGTTTTTAATTAGATTATTAATAATGATACTGATACATTTTTGCATCACTTATAACATCTATTGGCTTGTGAAATTAAATTATATCAAACCAAAAAATATCCATTAACATTATAAAGTTTTTATAGCACCCTGTTTATGCTAGATTTAATCGAAGTGTACCTGCACTGCCCGTCAAAATTAACGCATAATAAGTAAAAAAGAAATTTTCTATAAAAATACTTCAACTTACATATATCTCAGTTTACGTGTTCAAGGGTTTTTCGAGAAAATATTTTTAAAGCTCTTTTGTTTAATAATTAAAAACTCTTTTTAAAGTAAATTAAAAATATGCTGTTAAGGACCGTATTTTCGTTAGTATAACCTGAAAATTTTGTACAAATCAAACGAACGGTAACGAAGATACAGCGCTTCAAATTCGGTAAAAATGACCCCTTTTTTATTCTTTTGCTGAAAAGTGGTCATTTTTGATGACTTTGAAGCGCTGTATTTTCGTTACTGTTCGTTTGATTTGTACAAAATTTTCAGGGTATACTAACAAAAATACGGTGTTTCACAACCTATTTTTTATTTACTTAAAATAAGTTTTTTTTCGAGAATTTTTTTATTATTAAGTAAAAGCGCTTTAAAGATATTTTCTCGAAAAACCCTTGAACACGTGAACTGAGATATAAGTTGAAGTATTTTTATACAAAATTTTATAAAGATTGGTAAAGGCGTTATAGAGTTGATTTTTTTTTACTTGTTATGCTTTAATTTTGACGCGCAGTGTATTGGCAACATGATTTCGAAATTTTTAAAAATATTATTGCGATTTGCGTTTTTTGTATAATAATAATATCCATAAAAACAAAATATATGACATACATATTACAATTTATAGTGTATATTTGCATTAAAATTTGAACCTGCTTACGCAACCCATTATGGTAATTAACAATAAAAAGTTTAAAAAAATCAAAATTGTAAAAATTAAGATAATAACCATGAGTCACTTGAATGCAAACCCATTGTTTGAAAATTGGATTATATAGTCTAAAAACGTGTAGCTAATAATTACAGACTATCTTATCGCAACCAAAATATTTGTTTATTTTGCATTATTTGGGTTTTAGAATGTATAAAAATAAAGCATTATCTTTATAATTAATTAAACGTTTTCTTAAAGATGAAAATATAATCTATTGCGGAATTATGACTAATTAGGTCATGTTATCAAAGTTCGCAGTTTTATTAAAATTGGTTTTGGTTAATTATACAATGAAATATTAGCTCATTTTTTATTTAAAATAAATGAGCTAAAAAATTTCTATTTTTCTTCTAATCAAATAGAAACAATATCAAAAGAAAGAACTTTTTTTTAATTTAACCTAAAAGACAAGATCAGTTCAACGACTTAAATTTCGTCAACACAATACTAATAAAATAGGTTATTTCAAATAAGTTTTTTTTTAATTTTTGTTATAAAATATACAAAATATAACTGTTTAGATACATACATTTCCACTAATAACTAAATAAAAGGGTAGAAATTTAAGTCAATTAACAAAAATGCCGCGACTAGGCTGATAAAATAAATAAATAATAACTTATCTAAATCCTTATTTAAATTAGGAAATAAGTCGCATTTCGCACGCAAATTTGAATATTCGCCACAACCCAAACGCGTGATAACTGTTTCTATTTCTAATTCCACCGAGTATAACCGTGCGCGTCATTAATAAGCAATAAAATGCAATGCTAAGTGGAACATAATTTCGACCGTTCTAATTTTTGGAACAACGTGCCGTGAAATAACGAGAAAATTATGGTGAAAAAACCATACGCCCAATGAAAATGATCTTTCAACAAACAGTTCGCTTTAATCGTGACCTTGATCTTCTCTCACTACTGTTTCTACGCGATCATAAGTGTAATAGAAACTTATTTCATCAAAAGAATAAAAATCTAGTAGGTTTAAAATTATACCAACGATATCAGTGATAAAACATGTACCAGCTCGTTTTGCTGTTGTTAATTTGCACGGAAAGTTTTATATCATCGGGTTACCGTTATTGCAAAAGTTTTGCGGCAAAACCATAAACAAAAGAATAAAAGTCAGCGAGTGTAAACAATAAATAAGCTTAAATTTTAATTTGAATTTGCACTACTTAATCGAATTACCGAAATGCAGATTTAATTCTAGGCATAATCCTTGACTCCACCAAGGCCAGTGGCGTAGGAGGGTAAACGTAAGGGCCAAAATTAAATATACAAAAATATTAGTTTTAATTTTTTAAAGTTTGGTTTGCAATATTATTTAAAATTAACAATTGAATAATCATGAGAGTAATTTTTTCATTTTCATAAAGAAAATCGAGTATAATTAGTAATTATTAATGACACATTTTTAACAAAAGATGGGTAAACAATTTCAAAGATTTTGAACTACTAGGTTTAAAATACGAATATATTTTGGTAGATATTTAATAATTATTATATTCAGTAGATTTAAATTTTAAATAGCGTTTCAACAAGGGGTAAAATTTATGCTACGCCAGTGATCAAGGCCAAAAAAATCTGCATTATGCAATTTGCATCACCGCCAACTCTTTTAAAAATTTAAAATAAAAAGGGTCGCATTAAAAAAGTCACTTCACCTCTCGCACCCGATAAAAAAATCCACTTACGTTTTAGCAGACACGCAAAGAACTTTACAAAAGCACAGGTTGTCGAGTGTGTACTATTCTATTGCCGGACGCACTGTCAGCGAAGCCACGGAAAACAAAACACAATTGACAGCGACAAGCGTTGATCTCAGCTGATCGGGCGAGTTCGTTGATGGGGGGAGGCGAGGGGTGGCGAACCGTCAGCTGTTTCGTTTGTTAGCAACCAGCTGGGCGACCCCGGACCATGCGCAGTGGGCGCCAAGCCGAGCGCTTTGTTTGCGATTACGGGTTCGATTCAGCGTTGCCAAAGCTAATACAATTCTACAAATCTACTCTCTTGAAATGAAATAGTCAAAATTCTACTATTTAAATTAGTACCAGCCTTGTTTACTAATAAAATGTGGTTTTCACTTTTAAATAGTTATTTTTTACTACTATATAGTTTGACTAATTCTACTAATTCACTATTTCTGTGAGTAAAAAATAACTAATTTCTTTAATCGTTTTTAATTTTTGCGGCCAACAACAAATTATTCTTAGCATGTAGGCTCTATGGTTAAATGGCCCATGAAAACAAACAAAGATGCAAAAAGTTTAGCTCAAAACAGCAACACAAAAAAGATATTCAACTTTAAAATATTATTAACAATATTTATTGACAGATATAACTAATTTTAATAAAAGTAGCAGTGGCGCAGCGATTAGACACCCGCTTGACAAATGGGACCCTCGAGTTCAAACCCCGGCTGGATCAAAACTTTTATAAATCTATACTAATTTGACGATTTCATTCTGTAGAATTTGACTAATTATTAGTGACTGCTTTTCCGTTATGACAATTAGTGAAATATGACTTGTAATTAGTCATTTGTGTATAATTGATTTTAAGAGAGTAGTACACACATTAACAAAGGTCTGTTCTGTGGTCTATTGCTGAAATCAGACTATATCTTTGCGATGTTTTTCATGCGCTGAATTCAATTCTGAAATCATAGCTCCATCAAGTAAGATTTTTGAGAAATTAGATCATAAAACAAGTTTGTAACAATATTACGAAATATATTATTAATGATTTCGCGAAAAGAAAAATGGGTACTTAATGAAAAAAATTCAAATGGGGAAGTTACTTTCAGATGGCGAGTATTATAATATATAAATACCTCGTAAAATAGCAAATATTTCTCCACTATGGGTTATAATGCCTCGAAAACCTGATGATGATGATGATGATGATGATTAGCTGGCCATACACAGGCGTTATTTCGCGCGGTTTATCGTGGCGTGTTGGGATGTAGCGGTTAGTATGCACGAAAGAACGGCATGGCAAAAAAAGCGTCATGTTCCATACACTTGATAAAGTATTCAAATGATTTAGCAAGTGATTGCCCGTGGTATATCAGTTTCAAAGGAAAAATCGCATGTGAGTGGGCAAAAAGTGTCATTTATCGAGTCGTTTGAAACTGCATGTGATCATGTACAAATTTTCAACGTGAAATTTTGCCAAGCAAAGGTAAACCGTGACGCGGAATGTGGCGTGTGGACACTCCACACTCCAGAGGAAAGCACGTCTGAAATCCCTTCCCGTTCTATCATTGCGCGCAGCGATACTCACTCACGTACATGATTTTCCATATGTTTTTGCAGATAACACGATAAACCGCGCGCAATAACGTCTGTGTATGGCCAGCTATTAGGCAATTCTGAGGTCGAATTAAATATTAGTGCACTTTTGGTCATAATCTATTACCTAGTCTGGCAATACTGTTTCGATTAATTTAAATGTTTTAAATTAGTTATTTGTTCTAGCGTCAATAAAATGGATAGTCAACAGAAAAAGTTTTGCGATTTTCGTTAAATTAAGTCACGAAATAAATTTCAATTTTTATTAAAAAAGGTATACAAACAGTCAAACGTATTTCTTTACATTTTAAGATTCAAAAGTCGACGAAATATTCGAAAAAGTCAATAATTTAAAAAAAATCATCCCCCAGTAATCAAAATCTTACCTACGCCCCTGTATCCTTGAGATTACTATTTATGAATAACTAATAATAGACTGCGTGTCGAAAATACAAATATTTCACACATTTATTACCAAAAATAGTTGCTTTTAAAAACAAAGTTGTGCAGAATTGAAAAAATGCCTTAAATCCGGTTCCTTGATTTGTAAAAGTTTTATTTATATTTTCCGTCGATTTGATACACAGGTAAAATATTTGTCAGTTTAGGGTTCGTACAATTTTTGACAATCGATAAATCAACTGGTACATAAGACCAGTATTATTGATTATAAAATGTTGCACAACTTTACCTAACAGAGTTTATGATTTTTTAAAATTTGCTCATAAAATAAGATTGACGTGTTAAAAAACAGATGGCCAGCACTGCCTAGGATATTATGTGCTAAATATTTATGAACTGGTAGGCTTTTAATTTTTTTGGCTTTGTCTAAAATCATCTTGCTATTTAAGAAGTTTCCTAGCATACAAAATAATCGCAAATACTATTTTCTCAGAAAACAGATGGACTGGTTTACGATAACATTTTTTAATTTTTTTGGCTTTGTCTAAAAAAAAACATCCTGCTATTTAAGAAGTTTCCTAGCACACAAAATAATCGCATTTTTTATCACAGACCAAAACACTGTGATATAAAGATTTAAAATAATTGAAGTTGTTTTATTCCGTAAACACAAAAATGTTGTAACCTTGATCATTTATTAAAAATCATATATTTTTTTTAAAGATTTATAATAAAAAAACTACCTGGGAGGATGACCAAGTACAGTATAGTAGTATATCTTTTACGAAAATGTATGCTGCTCCTTGAATTCAAGGCGATCAACCACAAAATTATTTAAGAAATACAAGTATTTTTTTGTAAGTACTTGATTTCAATTACTGAATGTCCTTCATATAAATATGTAGGTACTGTATTATCATTAAAATATTTTAGTTTAAAAGCCAAATGTTTTGGTTTATGATCAATTTAGGAAGCACCTTTTAATAATTCCAATAAAAATTCACCTTATGATTTTAATTTAAGGTTATTGCATATTAAATTTTAATGATGCGAATAAAAAGTTGCAGTGTACGTGCTTATTTTTTATAAGTATGTATATAATTATCTGTATACGCGGTTACCTATCTTCTAGGAAAAAATATCATATCTACTACTATATCATAGTTTTTTAATAAAAAATACTTAAATTAAATTGCATTTTAACGTGAACAGTTAGCTGTGATATCAAAAGATTGGTTTTGTGGAATTTTACTAAAACAAACTAAAATATTAATTTAAATAAAAACGCAATAAAATAAGATAGCGCGCGGTATTATTATTTCAACGATAAAAGTAGACTGCGCGTTTTCGCGATACTATTTAAGTAATTGTAGTAATGATTGTGAACAATGGAAAGTTTTAATTTTAGAAAAATGCAAAATATAATCGTAACCTATAAACCTGCTTCTCAATAAACAACATTAGGTGTTTATTTTATTTTATTGTTTTTACCTTGTTATGGAAAAATAACCAGAGTTTATAAACAAACGACTAGAAATCGCAATTTTTTTAATGCTTATTTGATATTTAAATTAATTAGATATGTGGCAGTAAATTTTGCCAACTTTCGTAATGCCGTCTACTAAAATTAATTAATAAACAAAGTTAACGATCCAAAAACAATAATATAACATTTATTACATATAAATAAATTTGCAACAAAACATTTAGTTTTTATTTATTTACTTTTGCGTTAATCTGGAATATTCCTTTTATATTTGTAATAAAATAAAAACAAAGAAAATAAACCAAAACAATAATACTTAATACTCATATTCAAATAAAAAAAAAGAATAACGATATATATCAAGGAATTAATATTAAGGTCATTATTTTGGTCATGTCTATGAATAGCAGCGGCTTGCATGTCATGATGGATAATTATTATTATAATTTGCAGAATTAAATTTCAAAATTACATTTAAAAATGTTTTATTACTAGCAAGTTTTTAGCACAATTTATTCAATTGTAGCATAGTAATTATAGTCTTGTTGGTCAAATTTCTTAATGTAAGATTTAAAGGTTTAATAAATGTATTAAAAATAACAAATAAATAAAAATAAAAACAACAAATCTGTTTAGGGTGGGAAGGTTAAATAAAAAGCCTATATAAATATAAAAAGTTATGGGCTTAAATAATGCAAGTTTTTTTTTATTTCAGTAGACAAGTTATCTAAGTTAATATAAACCTGTATTCGACAAAATATCTATAAAACTTTTAAATAAGGTAATAATAAATAAAACGCAAATCTATTGTATAAAATATTTAGGTTACAGCTTGCAATTTTTGCAAGAACACATTTAGCATCATGTTTCCAAGCTTTATAGCAAATATTTTTGAGAAGCATCTTGCAATGCTAACTGGGTCATGACCAGTAGCTTGCTTACTCAATCATGAAGGAAATTCTAATCAGTGCATTTTAATTTTAATTTTAATTTTAATTTTTAATATATCTTACACAATTAACAACTTATTTAGAAACCATTTAATTAAAGCACATTTTCCTAATTGGTTTTTGAAATAATGGCTTTTTTAAGGTGCTAATCTCACCTACCCTCTTAAAATGAATTAGTAAAAAATGACTAATTTCATAGCGAAGAAGCAGCCACTGATAACTGCAATACATATCAATTTGTCTCTCGGACATGAACAATTGTCCGCTGAATTCGAAAGTACCATCAAAAGTTATGAAAATAAAGCAGTTTTTGAGATATAGTTAAATCCATATTATATAAAAAAATGGCTTGACTTTTATAAAAGAGGTGAAAAAAATCTAATTGTAGAGAATTTTTTGAATTCTTTATTTTTTGTTTTATTGTTGTTTTAAATTTTTATTGCGTTTTTATTTATCAAAACTAAGCATAGGAATATTTATAACATGTTACTTTTAGTTTAATTTTATTTCAATATTTTTTTCATGGATAACTTGACATAATAAATTTTGGTAAATAGTTAATATTGTTCATTTTTAATTTGGCTTCGTTCCTACTTAAAATTTTTCAATAAAATTTAGTATAGGGTCGTTTTGAGGGGTGGCGAATCCAGTGCCGTTCATGGTTTTTTTTAAATCGCTAATATGAATTTTTAAAAATGTAATCTTAAAAACTGACATAGTAGGCCTTATATTTTGTAAAATATGCCGTTTTTTGCTCCAAAAATATAGTT